AGATGAGGAAGAGGGGGAGGAGGAGGTGGAGGATGAGGTGGAGGATGGCAAGGAGGAGGAGAAAAGATAAAGAAGTGCGACAAGGTAGACGATAACAAGAAGAAGAAGAGGGGGAGGGGAAGGTGGAGGATGGCGAGGAGGTGGACGATAAGAAGAAAAAGAAGAGAAGACGTAGTCTAAGAAGAAGAAGAAGAAGAAGAAGAAGAAGAAGAAGAAGAAGAAGAAGAAGAAGAAGAAGAAGAAGAAGAAGAGGAGGAGGAGGAGGAGGAGGAGGAGGAGGAGGAGAAAGATCGGGGTGGATGGAAGCGATCAAAGGAGGAGGAGAGACGATCAAAGGTAGACAATGACAAGAAGAAGAAGAGGGGAGGAGGACTCTGAGACCGGGACTTGGGGCCTGACTGAGACGTGAAATTCTTTCAGCATCTGTCATCTTTTTCTTATCTACCATCTAAGCTGGATGGTGTAAACGTTACACAGTTCAGAATGACTTGCAGTGTACTCACAACTGGACCTTTCAGGGACATACATGCCAAGCTGGGATTTCCACACCGGGCCTAGGGCCCTGCCTTCTCTTTCTGGAAGCTCCTTTGGCTGCCAGGCCCTATTTTGGGCCTAGGACAGCCAGGGGCCCTGCTGGTGTATTTCGTGGCCTGCTTTTTTTTTCCATAGGAAAGGGCAATGACCTTGAAATATCACTGTTGAACTGTGCGACCCCAGGTAATTCAGAAGTTTCTGATGTCATTCATCTAATTCCTCTGTACTTGAACTCGGGTCTGTATTTCAACAGTTCGTGGGTGTACCGACTGAGCTAGGACGTTGGTTCTGGCCCTGCTCTTAATATTTTCATCATACGTTGCCTGCTGGGGCGACTATTCGGGTTTGGCTGTTAGGCCTGAGGAGAGTTTGGTCCATGATAGGACTGGAGCTCCTTTTGTCATATGTGCCTTTCCACACAAACAAGACTCAGTTTTGTGTTCCTGGTAGGCCCAGAGCCTGATCCAGGCAGTGCTGCTGACGCAGCAAGAGCATCTGGACAACCAATCCAGACCCTGACCATTGAGTTTGGCCAGCAGGCTGTTGAAGCAGGACTGCAGCCTCTCTCCTAAACTGCAGATCCTAGGTAGATCTAGATGGGCCATAAGTGAGGCTGCCAGGACAGGGGCAGGTCCAGTAATATCTAGCTGGGCATATTGCGCTGTCATGATTGGGGCAGCCAGGCTCCTGGAGACAAGTGCCGCATGTTGGAGGAGACCAGGCATTAGATGGATACACAAGGCACTTGAGAACGAGAGGTTTGGGCGTGAGGAGTGAATCACTGGGTACCATAATCGTGCACTTACCAGGACCATTGCTGGGGCTCCAGTCTGGAACCTGCATCACATCAGTGGCGCAATATGTCACCTTTCAACGGTCCGTGGGGGCGCACACACACACACAC